CCCTAGTTTACCAGCCGGTCTCAAGTCCGGAAAAAGAGGGGAGATTGGGTATGGGTCTAACGACCAACCAAATAGTTACAGAAACTTCAGTGGGCAGAAAAAATATCAGAAAGAAATCAATTCTTCTCTGGGATTGGAGAGACGGAATGATGCGGACTGGTGAAAACCTTTGGAAAGCCAGTCAGCCAGTGTGTCTGCTTTCGATGAAAGTAGAAGTAAGCGTGGAAATATGGATTGTCCACGCATTGTCAGAAGCTGGGAAGACTGTTCAGACTTCCAAAGAGATGAGAAGGTACGGTATAGAAGTGTTATGAGAAAGCAGATAGAATGGAAGTGGACCCTGCAAGTTGTTAACTGGAGAATTAATAATCCACTCAAATCACTCAGATGACAACCACTGGCGCACTAAAGGAGTGCCTGTCATGATTTTACCAACAGCACTGGAAGCTCTTATGCAGGGGAAACCAATCTCCTCCATGATAATGACAGCAAGATTCAATTCAAAAGGTTGGAAAGTTACAATATTCCCATGTTAAGCTCCTACAAACAACGCAGATCAAGAGAAGAAGGAAGAATTTTACCGACAACTACAAGCAGCGGTGGACAAGACTCAAAATAGAGACATCAAAATCCTAATGGGTGATATGAATGTCAATCTGGGAGCAAACAATACAGGAAGAGAGGTCACCACGTCTCGAGAGCCTCAGGTGAAATGAATGAAAACGGCGAAATGTTTACAGACTTCTAAACTTTCAGTTATTTGGCAGTTGTAGGCAGTGTGTACAAACATAATAATATAAACAAGGCGACATGGGTTTCACCTGACAGATACTCCAAAAATCAGGCAGATTTCATCTCAATCTCGGGGAGTGCAGACGCAGCTTGCTGAACAAAAAATTGAAAAGAGGAGCAGATGTGGGCTCAAACCATTATTTAATGCTAGGAGCCTTCAGAGATACTGGAGATAGACTACAATTCAAGTTCACACTCAGAAACTGAAGGATGAAACCACAAAGGACAGATTCACTGTAGCCATCAGAGCGAATTCGGAGTAACTATCTAGTACCACTGAGGAAACCTGTGTAGAATGACAATGGAACTAGCTCTCGGAAGTTGATGTTCCAGGAAACTTATATGGTCGTTTTAGGTAGTAAGAGGGGGAAAGACAAGAAATGGCTCTCAACAGAAAGCTGGAAGATAATAGAGGGAAAGAGTAGTGGAGAAACAGAAGATGAACTAGCGCAGGGATGGAAAAGGAAGGGAAAAGCTGAGTTTAACCTACAATGAACTGAATAAAGAAGTGAATAAGAGTGCTACGAAAGACAAAAGACAATTCTACAACACACTGGCAGCCGAAGCACAACAAGCAGCAGGTGAAAGATACCTCAGAATATTATATCAGATAACCAGCTTTAGATCTGGTAAGAGATTAACGTATGTGAAACCTGTGAAAGATGATCAAGGGAGAGACGAAGAAAACAGTGAGCTGATAACATCAAAGAACTCTTGAACCAACTACCACCTGCAACACCCCCAGAGACTCCACCAGCAGCCACGGAAATACCAGTGAACACCAATTCTCCAACAAAAGTAGAAATCTTGAATGCAATCAAGCTAGTGAATGCCAGCAGAGAAGGTAGTAGTACCAGGCTGAATTCCTCCTGAAGCACTGAAAACAGATACAGAGACCGTAGCGGATATGCTCATGCCACTGTTGCAAAATGTTTGAAAAGAAGTAAAGGTACTTGCTGATTGGAAGAAAAGCTACCTTGTCAAACTACCAAATAAGGTCGACTTAGGCCTCTGCAAGAACTGGCACGGAACCATGCTTTTGTCCACACCAAACAAAATATTAAGTAGCGTCATCTTGAAGAGATTCAAGGGTGCTCTGTCACAGAACACCTCCCAGAACAAGCTGGATTCAGGAAAGGCAAATCATGTGCTGATCAAATATCAACTCTACGCACCGTAATCTAAAAGAGCAAAGAATGGCAGTCAAACCTCTACCCCAGCTTCCTGGAATTTGAAAAGGCCTTCGACAGTGCTGACCGCGAAGTGATTTGGAAACTACTTCAGCACTATGGAGTGCCCCAAATCTTTATCAACTCCATCTGACAGCTATAGGACAATAACGCATGTCAAGTGATAGACAATGGAAAACTCAGCGAAGCTTCTGAAGTGAAGATAGGAGTAAGACAAGGCTGCCTGCTTGCTATCATCAATGACGTTCTTAATTGTGGTGGAGTGGATTATGCATCAGACTGTGGGGAGCGAGAAGGCAGGAATACGTCGTATCGATGAGAAGGCTCTAGAAGATCTTGATTTCGCGGAGGATTTATGTGTAAAGGAACACAAACTCGAAAATAAAAAGGTAAAACCGACAACTTGCCAGAAAAGGCAGTGGATATAGGGAAGAAAGGGGTGATGATGATATCCGACAACCAGCAATAATAAACACCAATCAATATTAACGGGAGAAATTTGAGGGAAATCGCCTCTTTCACTTTCCTCAGAAGCATCGTTTCAGCTACAGATGTCACAGATGATGGTATTAAAGCAAGATAGGAAAATCAAGATAGACCTTTGTTACACTAAAATCAGTGCGGAAGTCTGCTGCATTGAGCATAAGAAACTAGATCCGGATTTTCAATACTGGTATCAAATCATTTCTTCTGTATGATCTAGAGTCTTGAACTGCACATCAAGAAAAGCATTTCCAACAGACTGCAGACAAACAGCTGCTACTGAAGACCATATTACCGGTTGGAAAGAGTTAACAACAAGGTACTCTGGCAATGAACAAACCAATAGAGTACTGCTCAACAATTAATGAGAAAGAGACAGAAGTTGATTGTACACACTCTGAGGAGACCATTGAGTGAGATCATGAGTCAGGCAGGTTGTCGAGTGGAATCCAAATGGAAAACGACGAGTTGGGCTCCACTCTGAGTGTAATGTGCAGGCGATCTTGTGAAGAGGAAATTAAAGCTTATGAGAAATCATGGAGTCAACTATGAGAAGACTGAAGAAAACAGAATGAAACAACAATGTAATGCTGAGTCCATATGTTCCATTCACAATCAAAAGGAAAAAGAATTATCTTCCACAGGTAACTTATGGCAAACTTTTACCACATGACATAAAGATGTTGTTTTTTGTTCATTTACGTTCCTAGTGGAACATAAGGCTTAAAGATAGAGGCCTGAAGTTTCGGTGGCAGTGTTTTTCTTTTTTTACGGGATGGGGTTGCTATTCTCACGTCCAACCTTCTCTCTTTACCAATCTTATTGCAAGCTTCTCGAGGCAAAGGAGGGCATCGGCCTGGGACTGAACGCCGAATCACATGCGTGGTTGGCGAGCATTCTACCGCTGCGTTACCAACGCCTAAAGATGGTATATAGAATATGTACTTTTCATCAGTACTGATGGAAAATCTCGAATGAAAAAATGATATAAAGTCAGAAGTTTGATTTTCAAGACACAAGAGTCAACTCTACAGTAAGCTAATACTAGCAAGTTTGTTAGAGGTTAGTCGATCAAAGCAGTTTGAGAGACTTCAAATAGCAATAGACTTTATTTTTGATTTTATTTGTTGTAGATGATGTTCTCACAAACAAAGAAGAATATCCTCTTCTTTCCTTGTGAGCATTTCTTGACATGTCATCTTCGAGTATGGACGCTTCAACGATTCCCTGAGGTTAACCTGATTTTATTTGGTTAACGGTAACTAACGATGGATTTGACCTATTTTAGACGAAACTCGCTTCCTGGATTACAACGTCAGCCAATATCAAATAAATAAAAATAAAACTATACTGAGAACTAGATTTTACTAGTTTGTTTCTTTGATATTCTGTTTGAAATTTATATAAAATAATCTTCCTACGAATGGTAATTAAACCACATAATAATACTGATAATATTAACTTGAACTAAGTAAACGTTTCAGTCGTTTATAGATTACCAATGGCGTATATTTTGAGACTACATGACATTGAACTGAAACGCTATTCTACGTTGTTTTCGATACTATTTTCTTCAGTACAAAATTTAGTTTTCTATGGTTCCTTTGTAAGGATTAGTTTTGTTTTTACGAGTTGATCCCGGATTGATATCAGTTAGAGAACAGCTGGAAACCAGGGAGTACTGGACAGTCAGCTGTTTCATTCTAGTTTGGGAATCATCGGCACTACGCACACACTGGGGTTCGAAACCAGGACCTTGCGGTTACAAGGCAAGCTGGCTCGTAGACCATTCAGCCACAGGGACCCGATTCAATGGCCAACTCATGAATTCTAACTCGTAAAAACAAAACTTATCCTTACAAACCAACTATAGAAAATTAATCAGATGCTCGCTACCTGCTACATGACGGAGTTTCCTGGAGTTCTAGTGAGAAGTCGTGACCACGTGAGGTCCATCCAATCAAGTGTGAGGATGGATGTCCCACTGATGACATTGGTTGGTGATCGCGCTAAATCACGAATTGGTAGAAGTTATAATTCATAGGTTGCCCACTGAATCGAGTCCCAGTGGCTGAATAGTATACGAGCTTGTCTGCGTGTAACCGGAAGGTCGTAGTTTCGAACTGTAGCGGTAGGTGCGTACTACCGATGATTCCCAAACTAGGATGAAACAGGCTTCCAGCACCCTTTGCTGGTTTTCAATGGTTCTCTAACTGATATCAATCCGTGATCAACTCATAGAATTTAGTGCTTTGAAACATCATTGACACCAGCAGAATGAAGTGAAATTAAGTTGATAAAAATAACCTCTTGGATCATTCTGTTGATGAATGTACAGTGTCAAAAAAAATGTACTTGAAGAAAAGCATCAAAAGTCATTGGTTAGTAAAGATAATTTTGTTTTTATTTTCTGAATGAACATCACTTAATGCTTTGAAGAAATATATTTGAAGAGAAGAAGCAGTGAATTAAATTAAATTCATTTGAATTGTGCTTCCATTAGATCAGACAGAGTGAGCTGACACTACATCTACCCTAGATGTACAGCTTATTTTCATTGAATATATTATTTGATTTTGAGGTTGAATTTTGAATATCATAAAAATTTGTTGTTTGTTTACTGGCTAACCAGTTTGATTCTTTGAATTCTGTTGGAAAATTCCATCCTAAACATGGTTTTAAATCATCACTTCTATTGTTATTAGTATTGTCGTCAACATGACTGGCGTTGTTAACTGTGGAATTGACAGTGTTTACATCATTTGAAGTTACTGCAGCATCATTATTACCACTGGTGACATTATTCATGTACAGCGAATTAGTTATTTCTGATGGATTTGTTAAAGATGGTGTATTCCAGAATAGGTGATTGTTTCGACTATTAATTGCTGTTGTTGTGTTGCTATTGTCTGTTCAGTTGAATTATTTATATTACTTTTATTCAGATTATTTCGACTAACTTGTGACTCAGTGTTTTGTTCTAAATGCTCAGGAATTTGGTAAGTATTGTAGTTAACCCTATTATCATTATTGTTATTGTTACTTTGAGCACTTAATGGCCATTCAACGCCAGTTGATGACATTGAAGAGTACTTTTTGAAGCGATCTAATGAAATGTCACTAGGGAAAATTGAATGTTTCACAGGATGATGTCGAATGTCTCCAGTAGACTGACATCTGTTGTTGTACATTGAACCTGTACTGTGTTCAGTTGAATTTTGTGAATAATGATGACGTGGTTGCTGTTGTTGCTGCTGCTGAGGAAGTTCTCCATCATGCTGAATGTAAGACGATTTACTCATAAAAGACGATGATAGTTCAGATGTTGACGTTGATGGTGGACGAAAAGTGTCAAATTCATCTCTGAATAGATTTTTCTCATCTGATTTTTCCATATTCATATTTGTAGATGGTAATAACTGTGATTCCTGAGATGATTTTCCAGTATTAACATCAGTACCACTAATACCTGATCTTGTTAGTTTGTTCAATGTCAATGAAAAATAAGGATTCGATTCACAAAAATGTCTAGAATGATGAAGTAAGCTATTTTCATGATTGTGTGTATTCAGAGAAATACCTTGTTCAAATAAACCACCCAATCTTCGTGTATCTGTTACACAAGGATTAGGAATAAAGGATGAAGAATTAGACGGTGAGAATAAATAATTATTACTTAAGCTGTTATTATTTGTAGTGTTCATATGTTTATTTAAATGATTATTTGTTGAAGATAAATTACTTCCTTGTAGATTAGTTCCAGCTGTTACAGCTGCAGCCATAGCACAGGCTGCTGCAGCTGCAGCAAATACAGCTGTCGATGAAGAAGAATTATTCATTGTAGATAAATCATTTTGTTCTGTGAATGATAAATGTAGACCAACATCAGATGATCCATTTGTTAAACTACCACTTCCACCTAATCGTTCACGTTTACGCCATTTAGCACGCCTATTTTGAAACCATACTTGTACTCGAGCTTCTGTTAATCCAGTTCTTAGAGCCAGTTGTTCACGAGCATAAACATCAGGATAATGAGTTTTCTGAAACAGAGGGGAATATTAAAACGGAAGATAAAAACCGTCTGAAAATATACAATAATAAATTACAAATCTTAGTATATGTATGCATGCATGCAGTTAGACAAGGATACTAATCACTCTCTTTATATGCAGTTGTATATAAATTCAAAAAGATGTTTCTGTCTACATGGTATTTACACTTCAGGAAAAATTAACTAACGTATGAAAATTAATACATATTAATGCTTCATACATTTAGTCTACTACGCAGATGTTTCCTGTGTGCGGTCTTTTACGCTGTTGATGTACTGGAAATCTAATAATGAATAAATATTGGCGTAAGAGGACTTTACACTACTAATGTAGAGTCTTTGCAAAGTGAATGAAAATAATAAGAAATAAAGACTGTTGTTTGAATAATAATAATAAAAGAGAGCTTATGAATCCCCGCTAAGTCATATAAAAGATGAGACGTTCAGCGAAGAAGAGTTACCCTTTTCTCTAACATCATTCTGAAGTTGTGCAACAACATTTATACAGTAATTCAAGTATTGGTTTGTAGGGATTTGATTGATTAGTTACAGAATTTCATCATGAGCTGATATCGGTTACAGAACCATTGGAAAACCTGGGAGTACTGGACAGCTGAAGACATTGGCTAGCGGTCGCGCTATGTCGTGAATTGGCAGAAGTTAGAATTCATGCACTGGTCATTGGATTGGGTCCCAGTGGCTTAATGGTCTACGAGCTCGCCTTGTAACCAGAAGATCCTGGGTTCGAATCCTGGAGGGTGCGTACTGATGAAGAGTCCCGAACTAGGACGAAACAACTGGTTGTCCAGTACTCCCTGCAGGTTTTCCAGTGGTTCTCTAACCTATGTCAGCTCATGATGAAATCCTGTAACCAATATATACAGTAAATTGTCATGGCAACAAGAGGAACCTTTCTAAGGATATGTCATTAAAACTGTAAGTTTCTACATAAAAATCACGTAATACAGAAAGCGTTAATCAGGTTGAAAATATAATAAAAAAAACCAATCGAGTAAGTTGAGTGACGTAATTTTAATTGATACGACTAAGCAGAATTCAACTAAGGCCAAGATTAGTGTCATAAGGAGCGAATTGTACAGCACTGAGAATACTGTCACTGGAAAGAGTAACTCTTCAGTTAAACGCCTCTACATTTAAGTGATTTTCACTCTGAAAATTAGAACTATTTTGCTTATAATGAATGTTCCAGTTAAAGTTATCTGCTGCATACATGGGATATCTAAAAGTGTAAGAAATCTCATGTGACCGCATTAACATAATAGTCATTTTATCAGTAAGATTTTATTTCCATAAAACTCGAAAATGTGCATTTTACTACAGGTTAGGTAATTCTGTTTCATTATTTCTAGAAATGGCATGTACGAATGTATCTTTTTCGAATGTGAGCTTACAAGGCGAATGTGGCAAAGCTTTATACTCTTAGATGAAAATCATTTTTTCAAATAATCAGTTGAAAAATGCATCATCAAAGTTTAGTCTAAACATATTTACAAACTGATAGCGACACCCTTTAAGTTGGCAGACTTCTATAAATACAGTGAATGGTGATTGAAGGTTCATGATAGTAGCGTGTCACTGGTTCACATAACAGCTGTGTATTATCCGTAGTGATGACAAGTGAAATGACGATCTGATTAGCAGTTGAGTCTCTCAGCTCAGCTGGTGAAATGCTGAACTGGTACATCGAAAGCTACTGAATCTAATCCTTCTGTCATCTTGATTTTCATCCCACCTTCAGTGATATTAATTCACTTTTAAGTCAATTTTGACTTTCCCATCGACTGATTGGACCGAAATGTCCGATCTTCGTTGACAAGTCGACTCCTAGTACAGAGGCCTCGACGATGTCTGAGGATTTACATTAAGTATTTTAGTGGACGGTGACTATCAAACATTGTCGAAGCATCCTTAATGGAAGCTGATATGTCAAGAGACACCGAACATTTCGGTCCAACGAGTCGATGGGAAAATAAAAATTGACTTAAAGCAAATAATAACTGGTTTTCGTTGCGCAAGAGGTGGCTCTCTTGACTCAGGTAGTCTAATGATTAACCCTTTGGCGTTTGAAACTATGGATACTGCGTTCACATCTCATTGGGAGCACCATCACTCACTGGGGAATGCAGTTACATTCGGATGACGAGTCCCAAATAGGACAAATAATGCTGAACACAATACAAATATCGAACCAATATAAGTTTATCAAGTTATCTAGAAATAATCGAATATTTACGATTCATTTTGAAAAAAATAACTAGATGTCCTTCTCATAAAGAACTCTCATAATAAATTGTAAAAGTTCGTAGTTTTGTTAGTGACATTATATTCACACTAATGAATGGTTCCTATTTTTTGTCGAGAAATTACAAAGAAAACTATAATTCTGTAAATTTTTAGTTTTACAACCAACACTTTAACTTGTCATGCTTTATAAGAGATATTATTTCTTTGGAAAGTTATATCTATGGTAACCTTTCATGGTAGATGAACCTACTTGATCTTAAACTGACAATTATGTTACTTGTTGAATTACGGCCATGAGTTTATTTGCGGAATAAAGACTATGTTCAGCTTACTACGGATGGATATTTTCCAAACAACTACAGAGTAGATAAAGAAGTGATGAATACTAGACTAAGCTCAGCTAGTAGAGTGCCGGATTTGAAATATCTTGTCGATTAAATTGTCTTTCATGCCTGTATCTTAAAACTGCTAAAGGTTCTTTTATTCTTTTATGTTCCGAGTGAAACATAAGGCTTTAATCTTGAGCTTTGAAGTTTCAGTAGCAGCGGTGCTGAGGTTGCTAGCCTCACGCCCAACCTTCCCTCTTTTCCTGGATTTCTGTCTGAAAGTAAACTAGGTGAGGCGTGGTAGCGTATTGACAGATGATTGAACTTTGCACCACGTGCATGGTTAGTGAACATTCTACATTTAAACCACTGACGCGAAATGAGTGGTTGTGTCCTCACCGGGAGTCGAACCCAGCATCCATTGTATCAAACACCAAAGCGTTATCCACTCGGCTACTGGGGTACATGGACGAAAGATGCTGTAGTTGTCACAAAATGTTTTATAACAATTTAAAAGTAAATAATTTATGGTTATACAATGTGTTTGCATTTCACATTACATTTTTGTGTTCAGTTGTGATAGCTTTTGTAATGTTAGACAGATCATATGTCATGATCTAAACACTTTCATTTTCCGAAAGAAAGAGGGATGAATTTTCACCTCGAACTGTGCGATTTGCAAAGTACATACTTAATTTTATGTAACCTTAGTTTGCTGAAGTAACTACGTCAGCTCTATGAACCAAGTCAGTCCGAATACATAGCTGATGAGCTCAGCTGGAAACAAGCGGAATGGCTATCCGGTATTTAGATTATATTCAACTGTCTGTCGACCATTGTTAACTGACTTGAGTGATTTCCAACTACTTATACCGATCAAAAGCTTATATCATCATTCTAAATTATTGTAAATTAACAAAATTCCTTTGAAAAGGTAGACAGTGCTACTTATTTTAAGCACTAGAATTTTTAGTTAACTCTTCTCCATGTTTCCACAGGTTCAAGCAAATCCTGCTGAAATACTTGGGACTTGTATTAACTAAAATAGATGAAAAATAATTTTACTTTACTGAGAGTATATCTCTCTCTGCCAGATTTAAGTTTTCAGATGGATCTTTATCCAGCTATTTCTAATATTTTAATCTCATTTTTAAAATAAATTAGGCTTCCTGATAATTCTTAGCGTATTGTTAATAACTAAAATCCTTCAATATCACTATAACTATACCATTTAATAAGTGATAGCTAAATTTCGCTAGCTTTCGATTAAAAAGAACTACTAATATACCATTATAATTCCCTTGAGTTCCGAGTGGAACATAGTGCTTCCAGCAGTACATCTTCGTTTCATTCTCTTCTCTGCAGTCGTCCACGATTGCTTATAATCTCTCATCTCTTCCTTGCACAGTTTCCTTCATATAGGCGGCCTGCTTAAAAATTGGGCTACTAAAAACCTCCATCAATATATTGCATATAATTTGTCTTATTCCACTTTTTTAAATCTAATAAGATATGATCTCTAACAGTGCTGTTTACTCTGGCGAATATTTAAAATGTTTACAACCCCTGCTGATTCTCAAGTTTCTACTAAACTTCAGAAAAGACATTGTCCTGGATGGCAACTCATTGCATTACATGAGGTGGTGACTGTTCCTGGGTTGTGTGTTCTTGGTTCACATCATGTACTCCTGAACTTTTCATAACTGGCATTCAACCAAATGTTGTAAATTTCTCAAAGGAGACAAAGAAGAGATATCATCACGATGGATTGATTTGCACTTCAGATCAGGTGGAACTGTGTCACACAATCTACTGTCAATTATTTTATTTGAAGATCCTGGACGAAAAGAAATTATTATGCAATCAACTCCGCTGAAAATCCTGTACCTTATATAAACATTGTTTCAGAATAAAGCTATAACCATTTTTTTTTAAGATTTAATTCTCATGTTACCATCGGCATTACACCTAACTCGTTGTTTCCATTTAGAACTACACTCGAGGGCCTAGGGCTCGATTTCGCTCAACGGTCAACTCAGAGTGTGTCCGATCCATCTCCACTTTCTTCGACATATTTGCTGGGTGATATGTTCTTCTTTAGTTCTCTGTGACAGTTCCTTGTTGTTTATTCCTTTTGATCGACCACCCGGTCTTCAGTGTGACACGAAGGCAGCTACCGATGGCAGTCTACAGCAATCTGTTGAAAATGATTTTGATGACGCGTGTGCCAAGTCCCCTGAACAATATCAAATCTCTGACTTGAAAATTCCAGTCTGGTTCTTGAATCCATAGTTTTATTAGTAGAATTTCGAAATGTTAGGAGAACTGTTGACTATTAAGACAAATGTACGTCTACCTAAATAAAGCTTTTACTTAAGAATCACTAATTGACTATTAA